ATTAAAGATTTCAATGTTACCTCCATTTCTCACTCCCCTGGGGGTCAGGGGGTGAAACTTGTTTTATAACCAGATGTCCCCCTCCAAACCATACAACTTTTAGTCGGCAATTTTTTTGGTCAGATGCATACATTTCGAGCAATTTCCAAATAAAGATTAAAATGGGACACCCGGTATAAGATAAGCAAATATATTCCTTGAAGATTCTAATATCCAGTTATTTATTTCAATTGTATAGCACCTAGTATTTTTGATACCAATAGGAATTATATCATATTATTATGAATAAGGAATTAAATATTCATAATCCATTTGTCCAATAGTTTATTTATTTTATATTTCAAGGTCATTACAGTTTTATTTCTTGTATAATGTAAATATATGGCAAATACTGTCTGTAGGTTAATCGAGGAGGTGGTATATTCATTATTCCAAATTTTTTGGGATTTTCTCTCCTCGTTTCTATAAAAACTATATAATTGCAATTGAAAAAATCTCTTCATGTTGAAAACGGGAGCAGAATCGGTCCCGAAACATCCAAAGATAAGTGAAAATTTGATATTTTTTTCTATATACCTTTATTTCTCTTCTCCAAAAATTTTTCAATACAAATTGTCACTGACAAGCTAGTGAATTTTTCTTTTAGGCTCTCTGATAGGAAAATTCTTTAAACACAGTGACATTTTGGGGCAAATCATCTGATTTGTCCTTACAACACTTATATTGAAATAATATTCATATTTTTATTTTATAGAAACGAGGAGAGAAAATCCCGAAAAATTTGGAATAATAAATATATGGCTTTTGAAATTGATCATTTTTATCCATGAAAATGTGAATCAATAAATTATAAATATATAGCTGATTAATATCCATTTTTTTAGATTCTTTGTACAATAGATTTGTAGGATATAAATAATCTTTTTTATGAATAATTTTCAAAATTCATTATTGGATAATTTCCAATTTCTTCAAATATGTTTGTTTCAAACCACCCCATCCAAGAATACCATCAATTAACTGAGACTGTACTGAAGCAAAGTTTATCATTTCCAAATTATTAATGTTCAATGCATGTTTGAACTTTTCAATTCAGGTATGAGACATCTAATTTTCTTTGTAACATAATCAACCTGATAATCCCAATTTAGATTATTATCAATCATTACACCAAGGTATTTCATACAATGAATTTCTTGAATGTTAATTTCACTATTGATCTTGATATTACCTAAGATTGGCTAAGAATTATGATATGATGTGGATGTCATTGATATCTGACCTGTGGACTGGAACAATCACTTAGCACATCTCTCATAATATTACTTGATATCAGATGTTGAGAGAATTATTATTACTTGTGAAACTTACTTCTGGAGCCATCCAAGCAGCAGATCCTTTGTTATTGGTCATGTAGGTATTTTTATCAGCAGCAGTACCAAAGTCACATATTTTCAAATTTACTCCACCATTTATCAGAAGTAAATTAGGAGGTTTTAAGTCCCTGTGTATCAAAGGTTTAGGTTGCATTCCATGAAGATATTCTACACCCTATGAAGAACAAGAATATTATCAGTAAAAAGTAATAAATGATAGAACTTCTCAAATTAGTAACAATACATATTTACAGAGCTTTGTTTCCTTGCATCCAAATAAAATAACAAAATATGGAAATCTGTGAATTGAGCAATTCACTTGATAATGTTATATTCCTTACCTTGGAACATTGATACACCCATGACATTGCATGTGCAAGGGTATATTGCAACTTTGAGCGATGTAAAACATTGAATAATGAGCCCCCTTCAGCATATTCCATTACAAGACAGAACACTCCTTTGGTACAAGCTCCATACAATTTCACTATATTTTCATGATCAACCCTTGAAAGTTGTCGCACTTCTATTAGAAATGACTTTTTTTCTGCTTCACGAGTAATGTTTTTCACAGCCACTAAGGTATCATTCCATATTCCTCTATAAACTACCCCAAAGCTTCCTTCACCTACAATCTGGAAGTACATAAGAAATGCAGCCAATTATACCAATTCACAGTGGAAACGCTGAAGTATTAACCATAGAAAAATTGTGGGAGGATATTCAGCAATATCTCACCTCTTGTTGTTGTATTTCATTATAATCTATTTCTCTGACATTATTCTGATTTTCATGATCAAGTTGGTCCGTACCCGCCATTGAATACTTTCGTATCACATATTTAATGAACTCTTTAATTATTAGAACTAATTAAAAAACTTTAGTAAATATTTATAAAATTTTCCAAAAATATTGGTTAGAATTTGGAACTGATGGAATTGACAAATGTCATGCAGAAATGAAAGATGTCACTGTCAAAATTGTCATAAGTTACGTTTTATTTATCCGATTCCGCCACCGGAATCGGCGGAATCACTTCATAGTGTCGTTTTATTTGCAACTTTTCCAATTCCGGTAGCTACTTTCCATTTCGTCTTGGAATGACTGTGGACTGCCACAGAAAATCAAATTAGATTGACGAGAAACGAAACTTTCTGAAAGTAAAAGACATTTATTAGAAGACATTTTCATCGTCACTACATCATGATTCTTAAGACAGGTTTCATAATATGTTCATTTCCAGATAAAATAAATTCTCTCGATCTCTATTAGTTGATTCATTTCCCAGATTCTTAACTCTAGTATTATGACGTTGTTTGATATATTACGATTATGATTTTGAAATTATTTTGGATTCCCAATATACAAATATCTCTTATGTAAATTCTCTCATGCAAGGTCATGAAGTTTCTCGTTTCATTTGTAAACGTTATTTTGGCTATATTCCGAATTCAACTGACAGTACTGAATGTGCTGAATTTTCATTCCGAAATAAAAAAAAATGACTGAGGGTCGGTTTATCAATTGCCAATATTATCCATCAGTTAGTTATCCGTCAGATAAAAATATCTAGCAGATAAACTTCCAGTTTGTTTGGAAGTGGTTTATCAACTCATTTTTATTCTCCAGTTAATCAACTGCCAGATAATGAAAGTTGGCAATGCTGATGAATAAATGTAAGCAATCTCATTGGTTGTTACACGAACAAGGTCATGTCACATCCCGACCGATCACGAGTAGTCACGACCGTTTTGTTTGGTTATTGTTGATTGTTTTCGAGGTTTTCTGTTTTATGAGTTTTTGGTTGTTGATAAATATGAATTTTTTAAATGATTATATTCTGGATAGCGACGAGGACGAGGATATTGTGCAAGTGCCTTTCTTACAGTGCCACTACTGCAGCTATTAAAGGCTGCTTCAACCTGCACCCAAGCATCCTCTTTCGATTTACAGGTTCCCCATTCTGTTTTTTTATTTTCAATCACACGTTTGTATTGATTCGCTATTTTAATCAGCAAATTTTTCTCCTCTGCTGTGAAATTGCATCCTCTTTTCTTTGTAGAACTACTAGTACTCTCCATTTTCAACTTTTTTGTCACACCAGAAAGCTAGGAAATCGAAACAACTCAATAAAGTGAGGTTATGTATAGGCATTAACCTCCAGATATCGACTATCCGCCAGTTAAAACTTACAGATAAATATTTGACATTTTAACTGCCGGATAAAGTTACCCTGGTGTAGATAAACCGACCTTTCCAAAAAAACTGGTAGTTAAGCTTTAACTGACAGATAAATTGTAATTGATAAACCGGCCCTGAAAGTGACAGATACTCGTGAGCAGATATTATACTATTCATCCCAAATATTTCGACTCAACATTCTGCTGAAATTGCTGACTATCAAAAGGATCAAAAGGTAGTGTGGCTTCAGTGAACTGTCATTATTTTTGAGGGAAAAGGAATGACACATTCATTTCCGTTGTTCTTCAAACATCAAGTCTTGACTTATCAATAATACATTAATAATATCATTTTGATATCAGAAAATGCCTGTTATTTATTTAGCTCAAGCAGGAGCATCTGCCAGATCAATGACAACTGAGAAATTTCACCAGCTGATCAACTGCTGCTGATTACTGATGAAAACGTGTTCCGAATTACAGCACTGGCTATATTCCGAATTCAACTGGTCAGTACTGTAAGTTGATCCACTGACTCTGCTGAAAATCTGTGTTCCGAAATATGAAATCAAAAATTCACTACTGTAATTCGGGACACGTTTTCATGGATTTCATCAGTAGTCGTTTATCTGAACTAGATGTTTAGCCTCCTACTTGTTATAAATTTTTGAACTTTAATATTTAACATGGAAGAGAAATCGATTCTTGTATCCTCTATATAGTTTCTACGATTGTTGACGATGGCGATTCAAGCTCGAGTGATGAAGAATACTTGGACATTTTGTTGCCATAAATTTCTCATGATGCACCAGATTGAGAATTGAGATTCATGAAAATCGCAATATGCCTTAATAATGATGAATTTTAGGAGACATTCCAGGTTTATTTAGTTCATTTAGTCAATGCTGCTTCTTTCCTTACCTGCTTTACTACTTTATACTCCAGGTATTTTCTGATATTGAGAATCATTTCATTAATAACGAAAATGAATGTTTCATTCCTTCCCCCTCTAAAATATGACAGTTCACTGAAGCCACACTACCTTTTGATACTCAACAATTCCAGCAGAATGTTGAGTCGAAATATTTGGAATGAATAGTATGTCTGCTGACAAGCATCTGTCACTTCCAGTGAATTTCTTGATTTCGGAATGGAAAATCAGCAGATTCAGTACTGTCAGTTGAATTCGGAATATAGCCACTGTATTTTTGATTTTATATTTCGGAACACAGCTTTTCAGCAGAGTCAGTGGATCTACCAGTTGAATTCGGAATATAGCCTCTGTTCCCACCACCGCTACCAGAATGGAACAAATAAAACGCAACTATAGTTTCATGAGAAAAAGTGACAGTAGTGACGGAGGCACTGACAGCCATCTGACAGCAGTGACAGGCATGACAACTCTCACTCTCAGACATCACTGACTGACAGCTTTCAGTCAACTATTCTAATATCAGTCAGATCCATCTGAAATCCGAAAATTTTATACATTTCATATTTCAACGATTGAACATTTCCTTTTATGGCAAACATTGTCGTGGAATAGTGGAAACAGGATTCTGATTGAACGATAATCCTCAGTTCATCATTCTGTTATCAGTGCAAAAATCTTTGTAATTGAGCTGTACAGCAGTGTCTAGTGATTGAAAATCCAGTGCTTCATCAGGAAAATGTCCTATTCATGTAGTAAGTTGACCTGAACAATTTTCGTTTTCACCAGGTTGATTCTTGAATTAACTTCATAATATATTTCCAGAAAATATCTATGCCACTCTCCCAAGAACTCAGAGAGGGCAGCCACTGGTATTGGGAAGTGATCCTAAAGGAAAGAATTTTTTATACACCAATGGAAATTCTGTTATAATAAGAAATATTGAAGTGAGTATTATTATTTTCATTTCACCAAAATATTTACCATTTTGCTTGGCATTCTAGAATCCAGCTATTGCTGATATTTATACAGAACATTCTTGCCCAGTTAATGTTGCCAAGTATTCTCCCAGTGGTTTCTACATTGCTTCTGGAGGTGAGTTCACTAATAGTGTGCTTCTTACTGGAACAAAATGTTCAATCTTGGTACATCTTGACCTTATCTTGACCAAGTCTTGACAGATGATCTTGACTATTGAAATTCCATACTGTTTTTACAAGATGAATAATCAAGTTTGTTGAAGGCTGATATATCATCTAGCATTATTTGATAGTTGCCTCCTGTTAATGTTTTACATACTTTGTTGAATTCTGTTGAATTCTGTTGAATCTTTTCGAAATTGTCTCATAATAATTTATTATAATAACTTGCAAAAGCAAACTACCTAATTTGGTACTCTTGTCTAATCTAGTGATTATATCCATTATCACTAAAAATTTTATAAAAATAAATAATCTTACTTTCCCTAGAAGAGGTGAAAAAAAAGTTCAAATAGGAAATGAATAAAGATATCCTGCTGAACTAAAATAATTCTATTGAAAAGGACTAAAAGGAGTATTCTCAGATATATTATAAACATGAAAAAAAAATGGATACATATAATGAAATAATTTGAGAATTCACATGCAAAAATTCTCAACTTCAGAAGATTTCATTTTCAAATTCTTATTGTGTGTGTTCAATAGATGTAATTCAAGTGTAATTCAATATTTGTTATGGCATATACCCAGGAAAGTAGTTGTTTTCTGTTGAATGTACTGAGAGAACATTTTTATCAGATAGGTAATGTGAATCCTCAATGTATTTCTTTATATGTATCCATTTTTTTCATGTTCTAAATATATCTGACAATATTCCTTTAAAATACTTTCATATCCAATCAAGGGGTTCAAAAGTGAATGATGGAAATTTTTTTATTTTTACAAACCTCTAATCACACATTTGTTATCAGGTTTTCTCAATTCAGAAATTTCTTTGCACCCTGAATGTTAAATATCAATTTGTCATACATCTGAATAAAATCATACTAGGAAAATGAATGGAAAATGAATGGAAACTTAACTACTCTTCTAGTCTCACTGATCTCATAGGGATTGAAGCAAGACATCAACTGAACAAATGATATGATTATTTTTGCAATTTTGAATTCAAATATTTGAGAATACTGACAGCTCATATCATTACTTCACAAATTACCCATGGGGTGTGATCAAGGCAACCTTCCTCTTCAAATAATGATTCTACCTACCTTGAAATCATGTTAACATGCCATCTCTGATTTTCTAAGTTTGAAACTCATTTCACACTCCTGTATCAGGAGGTACGTAAATAAAGAATGATTTATTCACAGTATGTATTCTATGAAACAGCTCCCTTTTATAATTTATTGAAGTGTATAGTTGCCTAGATAGACTTGTAGATATAATACTTACTAAATTACTGTGACTAGCCTAGAAATACTCATGGGTACTCACTTTTCATAATTCTGCTCTGTGTTGGTTTTATTACTGTTTGATCATGTTGATTTGAGATAAAATGTTCTCAAACACTCATGTTAGTTAAAGTGAGCACCAATCACTAAAAGTTTTGTCAAACATTTTATATAATGTGGTATTGTATCATTTCTTCCTATGAAGTTGAATACATGTTCCATTGATTTTGAATACAAATACATAATGGAATCTACATGTGATGAAAAGATATTGTGGCTCATTAGAATTCAAAACATGATTTACAGTATCATCAAACTTCAACATCACAAGAGAATTATACTCAGAATAAGATTTCAGTATGTTAATCAAATATTCCAAAAACATCCTTGGTATTGGCCCTTTTGAATGACGTCATAACAGACGCAGGCGTAACATACCCTATTTGTTTGACTATTCCACTCTTGGTCTCTGGAATCGATCAGACTAGGCCATTTTCACGGTTTCTTCTGTATTTTCAGAGATATTTTTTTATTTACTAAATTTTATGAAGCCGAATTGACCCACACGTGACTTCCTGGTTTTTCAGTGATAAAATTTTGAACGTTTAAAACGTCAATTATGTTGGAAGCCAGAATGATAGATGCAGTGTGCGCAACTCTCGCAAGCCCCTTGTTTATTGTCTCAATCATGGATAACTCCTATGAGTACAATAACTCATGATACTATTTTTCCTGGAAATATTCGTCCAGTTTACAGCTTTAATTTCGCTCATGACATTTCTCCAAAACTTCTCGCCTACGGCTCGAAAGTTTTGATAAACAATGTCATTCGGCGGAATTATTAGGCAACAAGCTGTCAGAACAATCGACGAATATTTCCGCCAAAATAGTATCATTTGTATAACATATGCATAAATAATAATTTCCTGGAAAAAAATCAAGGTTCAAGAAAAGGAAATAGCAAAATTATACAGGGTATCCCAGATTAACGTTCCTATACTCCGGGAAGTGCTTCCTATGGTCCGTGGAGCCCTTTCAAGGTAGGCCCATAAATGCAGTTTTCTTTAACTATCTTTGTTATCATCAATCCTAGAGTCACGAAATTTGGTATATGAGGGTGAATCAATCTTACAAATCGTTTTGTTGCACGGAAAACATGATTTAATATACAGGGAGGTGTGAAACTCCACCAGCGTGAAAGCAGCCACGTCTTCCAGCCACAACTCCGCTGAAATTTTACGGCGCGCTACAAAACACCAACGGTAGTCAAATATTAAAAACGTGGCTGGCCATCCACAAAATATCTAAAGCCGTTCGAATTTACTGGACACAGATTTTTTCTATCACATACAGTGTGTATGAATAAGATTGAATAAAAACACACAATATTTTGCTTGGCATGAATTTTCTCATATTATTCCACCTCTCAGACTTACGAAAAAAACGATAAATTCCAAACTTCGAAAAATCATGACTCTCTTAAGGGAAGATATATCATTGATTTTCGTTCGAGAATATACAGTGTGTATAATGGTAAATGAGATTTATATCATGCAATATTCAGCCGGACAACATTTTTCCCGAAATCGACTACTCAAACTCGCAAAGAAATCGATAAATCTGAAATTTTGAAAAATCATAGCTCTCTTAATAGACAATATATCATTGATTTTTCTTCGAGTATATACAGTGTGTATGATGGTGAATAAGATCTATATCATGCAATATTTTGCCGGCCAAGATTTTTCCCGAAATCGACTACTCAAACTTGAGAAGAAATCGGTAAATCTGAAACTTTGAAAAATCATAGCTCTCTTAATAGATGATATATCATTGATTTTTCTTAGAGAATATACAGTGTGTATGATGATGAATAAGATCTATATCATGCAATATTTTGCCGGCCAAGATTTTTCCTGAAATCGACTACTCAAACTCGCGAAGAAATCAATGAATCTGAAACTTTGAAAAATCATAGCTCTCTTAATAGACGATATATCATTGATTTTTCTTGAAGTATATACAGTGTGTATGATGGTGAATAAGATCTATATCATGTAATATTTTGCCGGCCAAGATTTTTCCCGAAATCGACTACTCAAATTCGCGAAGAAACCGATAAATCTGAAACTTTGAAAAATCATAGCTCTCTTAATAGACGATATATCATTGATTTTTCTTCGAGTATATACAGTGTGTATGATGGTGAATAAGATCTATATCATGTAATATTTTGCCGGCCAAGATTTTTCCCAAAATCGACTACTCAAACTCGCGATGAACTCGATAAATCTGAAACTTTGAAAAATCATAGCTCCCCTAATAGACCATGTATCATTGATTTTTCTTCGAGGATATACAGTGTGTATGATGGTGAATGAGATCTATATCATGCAATATTTTGCCGGCCAAGATTTTTCCCGAAATCGACTACTCAAACTCGCGAAGAAATCGATGAATCTGAAACTTTGAAAAATCATAACTCTCTTAATAGACGATATATCATTGATTTTTCTTCGAGGATATACAGTGTGTATGATGGTGAATGAGATCTATATCATGCAATATTTTGCCGGGCAAGATTTTTCCCAAAATCGACTACTCAAACTCGCGATGAAATCGATAAATCTGAAACTTTGAAAAATCATAGCTCTCTTAATAGACCATATATCATTGATTTTTCTTCGAGAATATACAGTGTGTATGATGATGAATGATATCTATATCATGCAATATTATGCCGGACCAGATTTTTCCCGAAATCGACTACTCAAACTCGCGAAAAAATTGATAAATCTGAAACATTGAAAAATCATTGCTCTCGTAATACACCATGTATCATTGATTTTTCTTCGAGGATATACAGTGTGTATGATGATGAATAAGATCTATATCATGCAATATTTTGCCGGCCAAGATTTTTCCCGAAATCGACTACTCAAACTCGCGAAGAAATTGATAAATCTGAAACTTTGAAAAATCATAGCTCTCGTAATACACCATGTATCATTGATTTTTCTTCGAGGATATACAGTGTGTATGATGGTGAATAAGATCTATATCATGTAATATTTTGCCGGCCAAGATTTATCCCAAAATCGACTACTCAAACTCGCGAAGAAATCGATGAATCTGAAACTTTGAAAAATCATAGCTCTCTCAATAGACAATATATCATTGATTTTTCTTCGAGGTTATACAGTGTGTATGATGGTGAATGAGATCTATATCATGCAATATTTTGCCGGCCAAGATTTTTCCCGAAATCGACTACTCAAACAAATCAAAAGTTTTTTCGAATTTGAATTTCTAATAATTCCCCTCATGTTAAATTAATCTAATTCTGAATGAATCTTGACCGGAATAATCAATATTTATCGTCTATTTTTCAAAGTTAGAGATTTATCGATTTCTTCGCGAGTTTTAGAAATCGATTTCGGGATGTATCTTGGCCGGCAAAATATTGCATGGTATAGATCACATTCACCATCATACACACTGTATATCCTCGAAGAAAAATCAATGATATATCGTCTATTAAGAGAGCTATGATTTTTCAAAGTTTCAGATTCATCGATTTCTTCGCGAGTTTGAGTAGTCGATTTCGGGAAAAATCTTGGCCGGCAAAATATCGCATGATATAGATCTCATTCACCATCATACA